CGCTGCGCATGCGCTGCTGGTTGGCGTACGTCGCCCCCTCCAGGTCTGCCACCACGCGGGACTCTGTGCCTCCGTCCTGTACACCGGACACATTAAACTCACTCCTCCACAAGACTAAAGAACCTACTATTGCATCATTTTATTTGACATTTTATAAATAAATTCATTAGTTTTGAATAAAATAATTATTACTACAGTAACTGTTGTCACAAATCAATTGCGTTCAATACAATCGAGCTTAAGAGGTTGCTCGATAATTATTACGGGGGGGGGTCAGTAGTTGCAGTGGGAGGAGGGTACCTCTGAGCGAGGACTCCAGAGACGCACAACGGCCTCGATGCCGCTGGTGGCGAGCAGACAGAGAGTGGGGTGCATCTGCACGCAGTTCAGGATGGACTCGTCAGCTCGCAGACAGCGCGCCACGTTGCCCGAGGACCGGCACCAGATGAACAGGCTGCCGTCGTCGGAACTTCACACAGATTCATTACTTAAATATAGAGAACCACCACCACACAGTATACAATGTGATGAGTGTGCATGCCGGAGACCTTATTTTTATTCCTCTTCCCTTTTCTAGCACTGATCTCTATAAATGCATAGACGATCTATCTATTATATGAATCAAACAGACACAAAAAGCAGTCCACTTGTTTTAGTGTGAGATGTGTCAGAGTGCCGGAGATGTGTGAGATGTGTGGGAGAGAGATGCGCACCCCGCGGCGACGAAGTCGGAGTGAGGTCCGAGGAAGATGGCCTCCTTGATGTCGGTGGTGGTGTTGCAGTGCCCGAGGAAGCGCGCGGTGTAGTCGAGCGCGGCGGCGCGCAGCTGACGCTCCGACAGCGACGTGCTCAGCGCCTCTTCGTTCTCGTCTGCTGCGGAGTTGCCAACGGTCGCCCGTACTTGCAAATCGTAAACGCACCCTTTCAACTAGTACACGGTTACATTACACCACCCCCACCCCACATCTGATCGAGTTAATTATAACTGATTAAATCACACAATTGTAACTGTAAACACGAATAAAAACATAAAATTATAAAAAAATAGAAAAGTAAAGAAAAAAATTACACATATAATAGAAAAATTAAGTAATAAATTGAATACTAAGTGTTAGTGCGGGTGTTAGTGCGGGACTCACCTTCATCAGGCAACGTCTCAATATTCTCGAGAGCCACATTGATGTCCTTCTGCAGCAGGAAGACGGCATGCGATGCTGCGTGACGCGGGAACTTGTCCTTGAAGTAGAGCAGACACTCGTGAGCCTCGCGCGGACGCTTCAGCTCCATCAGACCCTTCGCCAGCCGGAAGTGAGACTTCACGTTGTTGGGGTCCAGCTTGATCGCCTTGTAGCAGTCCCGGATCGCCGCGTACGTGTCACCGGACCTAGATAATTAACTAACAGATACAGTCTATGTTCTAGACATGTAGCGTATTCAAGCGAGACTCATGCAGCCGTTCTTTTCGCATTTATAATATTAACTTGGAAGGTAGTACTGACCAGCCGCGACGCATGAGGGTGGCTGCTCGGTTGGAGTAGAGCACGGCGTGGTCGGGACACTCTGCTATCGCGCTGTTGTAGTAGTCCACCGCCGCTATGTACTCGCCCTTGTTCACCAGCTCGTTACCCTATACAACACAAACTTTCTTTGTCCGACAATATCTTAAAAACTAACAATCCGATTACATAAATTCTTTTTGCATTTGAAAGCTACAATAATGGAGAAGGTTATAATATAAATAACATCACGCTGCGTCGTTTAGGAAGCGAGCAGGAAGCGAAATAAATCTTACCGCCTCCTTCAGCTGCAGTATCCTGTCTGGGAGCGGCGGCTGGGGGTCGACGGTGCCGTTGCCGCTGGTGCCGTTGGCGGGCGAGGTGGTGCCGTTCTTGGCAGGCTGCTTGCCCTCACCCTCCCTGTTGCCGTGGTTGTGCTGGATTATGAAACTTTCCACCAGAATAGGCCTCCGACCGGAGTTTATATCGAATAGGTAAACCTGTAAAAGTTAAAAAGATTTAGATAAAAAGTAATTTATTATATATAAGTGAGTAAATAACAAGATGAGACTACAACTTACATGTTCTGATCCCAAATTGACCATAAGTTCGTTCCCGTCATTACTAAAGGACACGTAAGTGGTCGCCTTCTTTGGGAACGTGTGCTCGTTTGCGTCCATCGAAAGGTGACCTGGAATTATACATATATATCAATGTATCTTTAATGATGTATTAAAACCACTAAAACAATTGTAACGAAATGAAAAACAATATTGGTAATAAAAACCATGTAAAGTCGGGGTAAATTACTCGTCAAGTCATTTAGCCACTCTCGAGATTCAGAACCAGCACTGAATTTCATCACAATTGCATGTTGCATGATGTTTTCCTTAATTGCAAGAATGTGATAGTATAAAGAGAGTAGACCTGGTGCGAAGTACTGCACGGCTGCTTTGGGCACGTCGTTGTCCGGGTCACCATGTCCGGCACGAGAACACAACACGTTCTGACGGTCGAATAGCATCTGCGATGTCGGCACTCGCGTTTGCTACAATATATTATGTTTTATTACTAATCTATATATTTTTTAATACTAACTTTAGTTCTAAGTCTTAAATCGATCTCCTCATACATTCATCACTATCGCCATTCAGAATAGAAAATATAATCTTAATTTAACTTGAAAACAATCAGAAAACAATCCACTGTCAAATCATCAACCTGCCCTTATCCCTATCGAGGGTCGGCACAGTATGTACTACTCCTCCATACATCTCTATCAGCCGTCATATCCGAGTCTACCCCCTTCTTACGCATATCCTCTTTCACACAGTCATTCTTTTTTTGGTCTTCCCCTACCCTTGTAGCCATCCACATTCAATCTCATTACTTTTTTGCTTATATCATCATCATCCCTCCTCATAACATGTCCAAACCACGCTAATCTTTTACTCCTCAATTTCTCGATCACTGGCGCTACTTTCAAACTTCCTCTAACAATCCACTGTCAAATAAATATTTAAAATCTTCAAATCGGTAAGTAATTTTTAAATTTATCACAAATTATGTAATTTACCATACAACATAACTTTATAGTATAAAATACTATTATATGAATAACAATAACTTAACATACTCTCATCTCTTTCATTCCACTATGTAAAACTCACATGTCCCCTTGATAACTTGATCATCCTGGTATCATATAGTCGTGCGTAACAATCATTGGCACCAACTGCGAGCTGGTACGGCCGGCGAGGGTTTACCGCAACGCACTTCGCCTCTGCATACCTTCCTAAGTGCTTGATTAAGTTCACCAGGACATTGGTGTTCACTGCGTTACAACGGTGACTTGTACGTAGATCGTGTTGTCTGAAATTAATAAGACATTTTTCTTATGCCTCTGTACATAAAAAGTTAGTAAAATTTTATGGTTTACTTTGAACCCGCATCTAAATGAAAGATGACGATTATTTTAGAAGACACTTAGGCATTTTATTGAATCAAACATTAAAATCAAATTATAGCTTAGACAAAACCCAATGATGAGTAAATTTTCACTGTAGACTAACATGTATAAAACATATGTTCAACCCGCTAAGAAATTTGTCAGAAAACTTCAACATTGCACTAACATGACAACACCATCTTCTCCAGCAGACCATATCAGATTAGGGTTGTCAGGCGGTGAAGCTAGCCTCTTCACCCTACCACAATGACAGGAGCACTCCAGCAGCGATGTGCCGGCCGTGTTGCGCACCCGGACAGTACCATCAGCAGCGCAAGTCGCCAATGTGTCGTTGGACACAAACTGAAACAAAAATATGATTGTTGTTAGAAAAGATAAATAGTCTTGAACGTCATATGTCATTAGCCATTGATTTCTAAGACTAAAATCTCTGTATAAAACAAATTGTCATCATTATCTTTGATAAAACAGAGATAACAATATATTTGAAATGGGGATTTAGGTCTCAGAAACCCACAGAAAGTCCAAGAACTCTACTCTAAATATCGTATCACTTGTATTTATTTTCATAGTCAATAAATTAACAATATACCTATATTTAAATGGGTATGATCGGAGGGGTAGTCAAAATGGTGAACCACAAATCACCAGTGGGGCATTGCAATCAAAAAGCTGCCAAAAACATTTCATTATTAATGAACTTTAGCAATTTATTTGAATGAAAACCTACTCAGTAGAAGAAACATATAGATTTTTTAACAATGATTAACATTACTGGATACTTAAGTTCTAGAAAAACATATGAATTAATTTTCCAATGACTTCACATATATCATATCTTTACAGTAAACAAAAGAGATAAGAAAATGTCCTTCAACTCTTTCTTACAATTATTTATTTCCAACCATACATAAATGTGGTGCAGAAATAAATCTTCTGCTATCTTTAAATTGGCAATAAAATAAAATAAGAACAAAGGAGATTATACAGTGGTGTAGTAAACAATGCTGCATTATTAATCATTTTATTTATATCAAATAAATAAAGCACATCTTTATGCACATAATGTTCTCAAGATATCCTCACCTTCACAGAGAAAATATTTCCTGTGTGGCCAGTGGCAATTTTGTGGAGCTCTTTGTATCGGTAGGGATCCCACAAAATGACGTGCAGATCGTCCGAAGCTGACGCCAATATACTGTGACGTAAAAACGAATTAACACAGTCCCACTAGAATATGTTAGAATATATGACAATATGGTATACTTACGAGCCGTCGTAATTCCATTCGAGGCAATTTACACATCCCATATGCCCGTGAAGTTCCTTTTCGAGACCCAGTCGGTCTATCATACTTCGGGTTACTGTCAAATCATTTTGGAATTTGCGGTCGATATCCCCACGTTCCCGGGCCGCAGTCAGGGCGACTGTGCCCTTAGTCCAAGCTGGATCTTGGCTCCGACCCATGACTGCTTATACCCAAAATATATGAGCTAAACTAACATCACAATCGGACTAAACTGCAAACTAGAACTAAGTTATATTTAATCTATTTATAGTTTATTACATCCCACATTGAATTCTTCAATTTAGGCACTGATGTGAGTATATTAATCGACGATGAAATATAATAGGAACTATTAACTAACGTACAAAAATCTAACAAATTATTATGAGATTTTCTTTCGAAAATAAGCAAGTGTCAAACAGCTGTCATTGTTGCCAGATATTGAAATGTGTTTACAAAGCAGTTGTTGCAACACTATAGATTTTGGGTTTGGCTTTGGCTTTGGAAATACACAATATTGATACAAATTAAAATAATACATTTAAAAAACAATATTTAGTAAGTGTACTGACAAGCTGGCATTCATTTTAAAAGCTTCTGTATGCGGACTTGTATTTAAAGTTATTGCAACACAACACACCAAAGAGTATATAACACACTATAGAAATTTCTTCAAAATTGTCACATTGACACTATGACATTGGCATTCTGCATGATTGTGAAATGTGAAATAAAAAAATACATACATTTTTTAAATTTATTATTACCTATTACAAAATAAGAAGCTGCAGGTATACTTTTAAGGTAATTAGGTCCACTTTATTAGATTTTTAAACTTACAAACGTAAAAAAACCTCGATTAAAAGTTACTAATCTTTAGAAATAACAATTGTTTATGTTGTTCGTGTGATTTTTTTTTTACAGAATATTATTTAGTAATCCCCTTGTAATAATACCAAAATGGGTGAGCGTAAGGGACAAAACCTATACTATCCCCCTGACTATGATCCTAAAGTTGGGGGGTTAAACAAATTCCAAGGGACTCATGCCCTCCGGGAAAGAGCCAGGAAACTCCACATGGGTATCTTAATTATAAGATTTGAGATGCCATACAACATATGGTGCGATGGCTGTCAAAACCATATTGGAATGGGTGTTCGTTATAATGCTGAGAAGAAGAAAATTGGAATGTACTACAGTACTCCCGTTTATCAATTTAGAATGAAATGCCACTTGTGTGACAATCACTTTGAAATCAAGACTGATCCTGGAGTAAGTTTCCTCATATTATTATTAAATTATAATAAAAGATCTATAACAACAAACATATAACTAAAAGCTCTCCAATCTTGTAATACAATCAATAAAATTCAAGATTTGTTTTTTGCATTAATAAGCAACTATAATTAAAATAATGTTAATGTCTCGTATTGTCATGTCTTCCAGAATTTAGACTATGTTATAGTTTCTGGAGCAAGACGTCAAGAAAATCGCTGGGATCCAACTGATAATGGCCAAATTGTTCCTGAAACAAAAGAAACGCAGAAGCGGCTATTTGATGATGCTATGTTCAAGTTGGAACATAAAACTGGTGATGTGGATCTCAGTAAATTGGATAAGCCAAGGCTTGGAAAACTTGTTGGTAGAAATGAAACCGTTTGGAAAGATGATTATGAAGCTAATTGCTCTTTGCGTAGGATTTTTAGGGTATGTACCATTTTATTTGAACTGTACAGTTGAGGATTTTTATTTTCTAACCAAACAAAATGTAATTCTTTTCTTTTATTCTTTCTGTGATGTTCATTTAACTTTTTTGTTTATTTCTTTTATAATATGTTATTCTTATATGTTTAGTTTCTTGCCGACACCAAAATGTTTTCTTTAAAATATATCTAAAGATTTATTGTGATCCTTGAGTAATCAATGAAATCTTTTCCTTCCAGAAAAGAAGGAAGGAACTAGAAGAATCAGCAATTAGTGATGGTCTACTTCTAAATAAATCATCACTTGACATTAATTTACTACCAGAAAATGAGGAAGATAGAAATCTTGCATCACTGCTTGCTCTACGACCATCCCGGAGTATCGAAGAGAGTCACAAAAATGTACGGAATAAGATCTTGAATAGTCCAGCATTACCCAGCTCTAGTGGACTTATAACAAGCTTTGGAGGATTAAAAAAAGAAGAATCGCTTAGCAAAAATTCTTCACTTACGAGAAATATCCTAGGTATCACTGTCAAGAGAAATAAGGAAGGTACTACAGATTTGTGTTCTACAGAGAAGAAAGCTGATGAAAATACTAAGGAGGATATTAAATTATCAGATAAATGTAAAAATAAGGTAGTTAATAGTAATAATAATAGAGAAATGTTAAAAGAGAATAGAACAATATCTTTAGTAGGGGATTACGGATCTAGCGGAGAAAGTTCAGATGGATAATAGTAATAATAAATAGTTAATATTATGTAATTACCAGAAAAATGTAACTTAACCTATTGCTGATACTGTCCTGTTTAAGAAAAGAAAAATATGCAAATCAAAATGAAAAAAAATCCAGCTTGATACTTAGATTGACAACAATTTGATCCTGTGGGAGGCCATCACTACTGTCGATATTTGCGGGAAGAATAACACTCGGAGTCCACATTTGTAATGTCTGTATTTTCTAATTTCTTAACTATTTATACAACTTATGTGCTACATGATTACTGGATAAAATATGTACACCAATTAAAAACTAAGTTTGTCGGACCAATCCGGAAGAGACACTAATTAATAGTTAATTATAATGAGAGTGAGTGAGAGGTGATTTCCTCTGTCACACATTCTTGCGCGTTCCGCACGATATGCTGTTTATGACCTCCGATAATCCTATAAGAGTTCTATTTTAATCTGGTAGTGAGGAACCCTAAAAATTATCCCACAAAAACCTAATTACTGGTTGATTGTTATAAATATATGCAATAAACTAACCTACACTTACTTCCCAGCTACAGTCTAGATATTAAAAAATTGACTCAAAGTATTTTGCTTGTACAAAATGTTGTGTACATATATTTTTTACAGGATGTTTTAAAATTATATGTTACGTGCTTTTTCTGATAATTACAAAATAACCATGTATAATGGAGAAGTGATAAGTATTTATCTTATGAAACTGGTTAAATTTTCACTTTGTAATAAGAAATTATATAAAGAATATTTAAAATAAAAAAATGACTAATTATTTAGAATTCGTTTTATTTTAATTCCACTTTTAGAAAACATATATTCGAACAGTTAATATTTTACGATGTAAAATTTTTACATACATATGTTAGATACCAATTATATTCTACAAAATGAGACTATTTAGAGAACAACATTGAATGCCATTAAAATATTATCAAAGCTTTAATATATGTTTAGTTTCAATATAAATAATATTAAAGTGATGTTTATTAAATGACAATAACTTCATAATCAATAAAATAATATTTATAACTTATGACACTAGAAAAAACATTATTATAAATTATACTATATAATGTTTGTGCAACTTATTCGCGAGGCAAAACATTTGTAGTTAGATGTAATTTTTAAAAATATAACCTAACTTTCAAAAAACCCTTGATAAGAGCCAACGGATGAAATAGCGACATCTATTGACTGCATTTTAAAATAAAAGTTTTAAAATTGAAATTCTTTACAACAAAATAAACTGTAATGATGTAAAAGGCAGAGTTATTTATTCTTATCATATAGAAAAATATCAAAATCACTTATTAAAAAGTAACATTTAAAATATGACAGCATTTCAACTGCTGTGAGATATATTTGTTGTCTGTCGTATTTCAAAGAGAATGTGACGTTCAAACCCAACCCCAACGTAATCCACTTAACATGAGTAACTCAACTAAGCTGGACAGCCAGCAACATGATTTGTGTGTTACACACTACTTATAACAGAAAAATACGGACTACATTGAGGATTTTAATAATAAAGCTAAAAAATAGTATCAAATACGCAACGTAATTTATATAAAATATTTTTATAGCCATAACAATATATTTTTAGTAGTTGCTACTGTGATAGTCCACTGCCGAAACATTTGTCCCAGTTTTTTAATGGAAATGAAATAAATTTCATAATGTTTTTGTACATTAGTTAAGGCAGTGTAATGTCACAGTTATTATAACTAATGACTAGATAGAGATCAGCGATTTTTAAGCAACATAAAATAAATCGAGTCGTAAAAAATAAAAGCGCTGTTTTGACTTTTTCTAAGTAGCGCCTTTTAGCAACATCTTAACAATGAATCATTGAATGATTGAATGAAATGCGCGTATGAGTGACTGTGTTCGAGCAGTTTTTTTTTGTTTTTTTTTCATCAAGTTTTTCACACATATAAAGTTAAAAGCATGAAATATGAATCCCTAATTTAATTTTTACTCATAAAATAGAATCTATATAATGTAAAGACTCATATCAATGTTTCAAATTCCTTGAAGTGTTTATAGTAATGTGTTTTTCAGTCGGCATTTTTTAATAACACAGAAATTTAAAAAAAAAAATTTATAAAAATTGTTAGTCGTCAGTAGATATATATTTTTCATTTGTTATTTTGTTATCATTTTCAATATCAGTTTCACTGAATGTTTTAAATTTATACGAAATTAATAATCAAATTCCCGTCTTAATACATGCATAGATTATGTTGAACATCCATTTAATATTAAAATAAATATAAAAAATTAGTTTGCTTTGTGTTCATTCAGCGGGACAACGTTTGTCTTCCAGTGCGTGTATGAGGGCGCATTCTATCTTCGTCTGAAGCCACTGCAGCACTTCCGAGTCTGATATTTCGATCACCTTCTCGTCAGTCGAAAAGTAGCTCACCATTTCATCCTGTAATCATCATAAAAATTGGTAAAATCGTTTAAATTAAATCTACGGAGGTGACCACGGCTGTATCGTGTTGATTTTACCTGTTTGATGTTTAGTATAAGTTTGTCCCCTTCAACGACGGGCGGCTCGATGAGGTCGTCCAGTTTGACCACCCACTCTATGTGCCAGCCGTCGCCCCCGCCCCCGCCGCGGACCAGGAATATGTGCCTGTCGAATTAACAGATCCCAATGTTAACATTACGACTACGTGAATATACTTAGTAATTTATACGGCTGGGGAAAATAGTGTAGACTTAACTATCAGAAGTTCCTAATCAAAATGTACACTAAGCAATATACTAATATACCAGAGCCATACTTTTTTAGCAATTATAAGTGAATGATAACTGACTGTGTTGTGAGCAGTAATGTGGCGAGAGAGGCGCGCGCGAGGTGCACGTGGCCGATGTAACCGTCGCTGGCGGCATAGTGGCCGCGCGACAACTGCGCCAACAGCGCCGCACCACGAGCTGCGCACGCGTCGTATGCACGCAGACCCTGCATATGATATCAAAATAAATATTCTATGTTCTGCTGGTTTAATTTCAGCTTCGATATACACTTAGCAACAAATAAGTCATGAACTAACAATTTAAACAGAACAAATCTTACTCATTCTGTATTGTCACGAAGGTCCTGCCTGGGTAATGGTTTATTAACTACATATCAAACTCAGTCATTAAATGGTCCCTCATTTTAGTATGAGTTATGTATGTTGCCTTAGTGAGCAATCAATGATTGAATTTCGCATTAAAAATCATACCTCGGCGCGAGGGCAGTGTCGGGGCAGACGGCGGCGCGCGGGCAGGCGAGAGACACGCTCGGCGGCCGCACGCAGTCCCGCCTCGGCGCCGCGCCAGCCCAGCTGCGGGCACTGCGCCGCGCGTGTCGCCTCCCGGCACACGTCTACACCGTGTTACATAAATCAATATTAATTATTGTTTTATAGTAGGAGGTGAATACGAGCAAGCTGACCATAGACAACAATAAGTTGGACAGAGGATGTGACGTACATAAATATGATGAACGGAGAACATACATATAGGAAAAGGAAATCTATATATGTCCCCCTTGGCATCATTTTCCTATAAGAAAAGGGTGGGAAATAGAAGGGATGCAAAGTTTGGCTTCCGGCAATTTATACAAAAGTGTAATTGTGCCAAATGGAACATTAATGATTCTAATGCATGCTGTATTACTTACGTTTTACAATAGCACAGTCCTCATCTAGTCGTCCACATCAAGCGCACACGCAGAGAGAAATGAGAAAAATGTTCATGAGAATGTGAGATATTGAAGGCTAAACTACTTATAAACGTAGAAAAGTGTATCGTGCAATACTTATAAAGTAGAATGAACTTAAAAATCAAATTTGTAAAAGTTTGTCAATAACATAATATCATGCTTAACATGATTTAAATGTTAAAATTCTTATAAAGCACGCAGTAAACACCAACATGCAGTATGGTGCTTAAACCTTCTAAAATTTAAAAACAAATGTAATTATCAAAAAATGACCTAAAGCTAAGAGTAGGAATTCAATTCTTATTTTAGTTATTATAAAAAAAATAATTTGTGTGTAACTATAAAGTGAGTAGAAAAATGTTAATAAACATGAGTCATGCGGCTTGCATTATGTTTGAGGTAGGTATGAGGTACGCACCGAGAGTAGGCCTGGCGATAAGGCCGGTGAGGGCGAGCGCGACGCCGCACGCGCTTCTCCGGCTGCCCTCCAGCACCGCCGCTGGCACGTTATCCACGACTGACCCCTCCTCGCCTATACGGTGCCAAAATTATCGTTTTAGATAAAGTCAAAAGCTACGTATGCGCTTCTTTTGAATCACAATCTCATTAAGTTGATAGCAATTTGTTTCGAAATTATTAAAGTAAGCACCAGGTCTTTTTCGTTGCGGCCGGACTCGTGGCGTGGTCTCCACCAACGCGGCGCTGCTGTCAGCCAGGCAGCACGCCAGCCGCGCCGCGCCATCGCGGGACCCGCGCGAAAGACGCCGCGCGCACGTACCACCCTGTAACATGGAATGAATTAATCGCTTACGAGGAGCATGTAGAGGATTATCCTCGTTTTAGACTAGCTTGTCCTCATTCAACTTAAATTATAAATAGAATTATTTCTTCGTAAAAGTGTGAGAAAATTTCCAAAGCTTAACTAGCGGTTGAAATCACGAAAATTGAAGTTGTACGTTCTAAGAAATATGTGCATCTCCATCAATACTCTCACCAGACATGGTTCATAATACTGCTTGAGTGTCCTTGAGAAGTCGCCGATGTAGCTGTAGGGGTTGCCCAGTACGTCGAGGCCGAGCACCAGCACGTAGAACTGCTGCACAAGTTGCAGCCAGTAGTGTCGTGACGCTGCCTCCAACAGCCCCGCCCACGGCACCGGCGCCTGCCGCAGCTCCATGTAGGACATCCTGCAGCACATTCAATAATAGTCAATTTAGGGACAGTGGAGATGCAATAGTGATCTATTAAAGTGATAAGAAAAGAAATTTATTTAGTTTGCGCAAAAAGAACTTATATAACTTACTTGATTACCACATCCTTCATATCGCAAAGCGACGAACCCCAAGAATTAAACAGATACTCCAGCAAATCACTGTTGAACAACTTGGGTCGGTTCTCCTTGTGAATGGCGTAATGCGACCGACTAGGACTGTCGGCGGTGTCCGTGTAACCGCGAGAAGACAGGCTCAGCACCAGCTTTAGGGGCGACAGATGCACATACTCGAAAAACACATTCTTTTGTGCACTCGTCTGGCTCTTGATGGCCAGTATTGTCAGCGGCATGTGGATCAATGCCAAGTCAGCTCGCAGTCTCACGGCTGGCTTCTCCTCCACCTTCCAGTGGTTTAAGATATCGAAAATATAATTAACGAATCCCCTGTCCAAGTTTACGCAAAACTCTTGGACTAATACTTTCACGTATTTATAGATATCTTGATTTAAATTGGGAAGGTACTGTTTCAAAGCAACAATCTCAATGCACGGTTTAACATCCTTGGATTTTAAATGTGCAGGTAAAGGAGCTGGGTACAGTACGCAGGGGAACACAGCTTCGTACAATTGATTATCAATTTGGAATCTCTGTAATTTTAGGTGACAATATGAGTATGTATCAGATTTGCGAAGTTGCAACCATACGGCGGGATTGTATGTCCTCCGTAATTCGGAGAAGAACGGCTTTGTCATTTGCATTTTCTCCAGGTCTATATGAATGTAGTCTCTGAGATTACACTTTTTCTGTTCTGTTTGGTATTTATCTTCAATCCACGCGGTGAGATCGGGTGCTAGTTGCTTCCATTTGTTGCTAACATTCACTTCCCAGCGCGGAAGAGAATCCGCAACGCTTATATAAGCCAGCTCCTTTACACCGACTCCGGTTTGGACGCACACTGATAAGCTCATACTAGACAGAGATAGATATACTTCGTAGTTACTTCGTTCTGAATCAATCATCATCCGATATTGCTGTGCTATTCTCTCGTCCTGAGCTAATGCGAAAACTCTCTGATAGCCGTTCATGAAAGACACCCAGTAGACTATGACCTTGTCTTTCCTCATCTTCTTAGTTTTTGCGAGATTCTCAGGCAGCTCAAAGCTCTCGGAGTCGTCGCTGCTGGAGGAGCAGGGTTCGGGGGACTTGGGGGTGAGACGTTTGAGTGTGGAGGACAGCTTAGACGTCACACTACTGGTTGCTACCAGAGTGGAATGCTTCACCGACTGGAAACTCACTTTTTCCTCGCCGTATCTGTTGATATATTAAAAATAAAGTTATTAAAATGTTTATGAAGTGATCATAATATTTTGAAGAATTATATCTCACCCATCCTGAGAGAAGTCAGCAAGGAATCCTTTTCCTTTGTTATTGTAGATATTCCACATGAGTTTCCTTTCCTTGGCGGGGTCATCCCAGGTGTAGAGCATGGCTTGGTGTGGGCTCAGCAACGCCACCTGGCCGCACTCCGCCTGGTGCAGCTTGAGGAACAGGTCCTCGCACAGGTTTTCAATGCGGACCGGCGCGTCGCCAGCAATGTACGATTTGAACGTGATAATGAACGGACGGTCTGTCCCTCCGGTCACGTCCACGCATATTGCAGACTGTTGGAAAATAGCCATTCCTTCAATGTCTTATTAAATACGAGTCTTTTTATATCGGAATAGGCAGAGACATTTCTTAAACGGGACAGATTATTATGTAAACTAGAATATACAATATTTTTGTTTGCTTAGTAAAAGACGGCAAACGAGCTAGAGTCCATGATTACATAATACTTTTGTGCCATTATTCCATTAAGTAGGTACATTCCATAGAGGAAATCGCTAAATATTTGTGTCGCCCAAAGTTTACATGATAATTGTTTAAGTAAATATCAATAGCAAAACGCCGAATACGTAATTTATAAATTCATAACTTTACATAGTAAAACTTGTCGTATATGAAAGTGAAAACAAACTTGAGAACCCTAAACTTTTATTATTAATATTTTCAATTTAGTTATTAATGTATGTTAAATTATTTATTCTGAACCAAAGAACAACGTACGTAAACTTATTAGGTAATGCAGGACAACTCGCGGTGTTATGTTATAAAAACAAAGATTTCTGGTTAATTTTAATGATAACCATAAACCATGGGGGAAAAAAGAATAAGCCAAAGCTTTCATTCAAAAATTAATACTGGGAACTATTATCAACAAAGGTTGTAATGACCCGCCTTACGTCACAGCCGGACCCCGCACACTCTAACTCAATTCACACCACTTTCAAAACGGCACTTATAAAATTTACACGTAAATTTCACTTCCTCTCAGTTTTCAGCCGACGCGAGGCGGGAGCGCAACGATGCGACTCATTATTGTGTTTATATTAACGTGCTGTGCTGCTGGTATATTATGCGATAATCCACCTTGTGATACAAACTCCTCCATGCCAGAAATTATAAGAGTCAAACGCGCCAAATACTACTCCAGTCCCCCGCAGAGGTTCTACAAAAGGCCTCCCTTGAGCTACCCGCCGACTCATGGCGCATTCTCCTACACTCCGCCGCCAAACCACATGATGGACGATGAAGACCAACCACCTAATCATAGACCACATAAATACACCAGACGACCGACCAACGAAGGCCTCGGTGAGGAAGACATAAACAATCTATTGAAATATTTGTCCAAAAAGGATTTAGATAAAATTGTCGAGCACACATTAGCGAAAGATAAATTTAAAAAAGGCTATGATAAACCTTTGGATTTTCCCAAACCTGTATACAATGAGGTTAACAACGAAGCTTTCGAAGATGGGAACAAATTTTCTTTCAACGGCCCATACATTAAGGCGCATGGAGATTACGCACCAGCAAACGAACACCCAAATTACAACGAAAACTATTCAGAGTCTAGACCAATTGTAGTACCAGATACTCCACAAATTGCTGGCAACTTGCAAGTTTTTTCTTCAGCACCGAGTGAAGGGATGGTATCCAATCAGCAGTTCGCAGTAGTGGATGGTTATATGCAACAAGCAATCAATGGTCTAGGCTCTCAATCGGGTTTGAATATATTCACGGACAGTAAAGTAATGCAAGAGGAACAGTTACCAATTCCTTCTAACCTGAGATACGAAGACCATTTTGCTTCGTTTACTAACAATGACCCCACTGTTGTTAAGGCAGACACCAGTTCGTACAAAGTGGAGAGTTTCGGCAGCCTGCCTCTAATGAATTACGACTCAAAGCTGCATACTGTTAGCTCATACAAGGTGCCGCATTATACTGTAAGTAAATTATTATTGTATTTCTCAATGTAGTTGTAAATATAAACGTCGTAAGTGATAGACAAAGCTATAAAACCAAAGTGAAAATTGTATTTCACTCATCACATATCCCTAGAAGTTTGTGATAAAAAATGGAATGAATACTGTTAATACATTCTCTTTCGGATATATGCACTCAGTGGAAGTCAGAGATGGTTATTAGAAATATGTTTAACTTCATATTTTTTTAGATGGAAATGTATTTTAGATTTAATCATAAATTCCGGCATTATGTGGTTATATAAGAAAATACGAGCCGACATGGTCTAATAAATTAGAATATATTACCTTCTCTAAATATTATAATTAATTTTTAACAGACATCATAATTGCATAACTAAAAAAATAATAGAACTAGAAAATCATATTTTTAGTAATCATATTGAGTACACAGTCTTCCTTACATCATTCACCAAAAACCTAAATTACAATCCTATTATTCAGGTTCAGAAATATGAAATACAAAGAATGTAAATATAAAAATAATCACTTGCTCAACAGGTAACGTCTAATCAAAACCAGCCAACAGCTCCTCAACAACAGCCACCATCGAGCAACACCCGCGTGGAACTCGCCAGTTCTCGGGAGACCAAATACCCGGACCAGAGCGACGCCCACCTCAAGGCCACTAAGATATGGACCCACAAGTCTACCGGCACAGCCTACTATCTACATAAAGATGGTACATTGTCGCTGGAGAGACCACGACATCCTAAGTATGGTTAGTTAGTAACGAGTTTTAAGATAATTTATTGTTAGATTTAAGTATTTTATTGTTGTTAATTGTTTGTTGAATAAAATATTAGAAGAAATTATTCTACTGTTTTGATTTAAATAGAAACTAAATGTAATATACATTTAGTTTTATGATTACGCAATATTTTTTTGTATTCCGTATTATAAATGTAAGGTATAAACTTTTTAAATGCTTTCTCTCACCCCTTTATCCATTCTGAGAACGGTGAAATGATTCTTTGTGATTGGGAAATGTTGAGACACGACGTTAGAGTCCCTGTACTTGCAGTGCATCGACATAGAATCGGTCTGCGGCCAGAATGGCGTGCATTGCTGCGGTGCCAGGTCTATCCACAAGTCCGCCGCTTCATTCTCCTCCATGAAACGCAAATGTTTCTTCGTATCGTTGTACACAAGGAAATATGGTAGGATGGTCACGATTTTCGTTAGTTGAGGACAAAGTTCCGAAAGAGTTACCTGAGGAAAACAGAATAATTATAAATAATAATAAAATTATATAAGTAGAAGAAGGAGATTAGAATAGTGTGCTAACGTGTAACAGCATTCGGTAGTGTATTCGTCGCTCGGTGTGCGTGCAGACGAGTAATCCGGGTGCGTGGGGTCTCGCGCGCGCTGGACGCGACCAACCCGACTGGTGAGCGCGTACTCGTAGCCGCTCTCCGCGCCCCGCCCACAACACCGCCTCCTCGTACACCTCCTGGGCCGCCTCACCACGACCACCCTACGAAGAAATATTCAGTTCAAAAATTCAAAGAGTTGTACCAAAAATATGGACAAGTGCGACACTTTCGTCTACGGCTAAGACTTTCTCAGTGTCCTACCTTGATCTGCAGCGGTAGGCCGGTCTTGTTGATAAGCCAGCAGTGAGCATAGAGCTGCAGGCGCCAGGCGGGGCCGCGAACCAGCCGTGCGCTAACACCCAGCTGCTTGTTGCCGCCCTCCGTCTCACACTCCGTCGTCATCTGCACCGTCTTCTCAGTCATGTCTACATGTAAAGTATAAATTATACATCTTGCTCATCAGCCTTACCCACAGCAAAGAATTATTATATGAAAAAAGAAGAGGCACAATTAACCTGGTGATAATGTGAAGCTCCCAGTCCAGGGTAATCCAAGGTAATGAATATCGAGGGTAAGGCGATGGGACTTGGACAAGTCTAGAGTGTAGACGTGAGCACGTTCCCCGGGCTCAATGCGCAGCTTCAGGCCATCGGCTCCCGCCCCCGCCAGCTGCAGCGCGTGCGGCAGGCAATTGTGCACGCCTAGGGGCGGCACAACGCGCACCAGCATGTTAGGGATGGCGCGAGAGATCTTCTGAGACTGGCAACCTAAAATTGAATTCAAATATAGTTATCATAAGATGTACTTAATAGTAAAATAATTATTTCACTTCATGTGATCAGTACCTTCAACAGGTACAATCTTCATTGCGAATATACTCGGGTCGTTGTCGGTCTTGGCGGGGCAGAGGATATCCTTCGGCGTGCCCAAGTCCTTCACCAGCTCCATCCACCAGATGCCTTGACTTGATGCCTGGTAAGTTCTACAAAAAGGGTAAAATTGTGTAATAAGTATTTTGAATTATAGTAACTTACTATGCTAGAAAATGACCAAAATTAGTTTAATTAAAACTGAACTCTAGCCTACAACCCCATATTTAATTGGTTACTTTTAGAGTTCATTAGTTTCAACAAATTAAATTAGCTCTGAGTGCTAGAGTAAGACTGCTAAATGTACTAACTCGAAGTTGGTAGGCAGCAGGTAGAGTTTGCAGTGGTAGGCGATGTAGAGCGGTACGTTATAGGTGTCGTGGGGGGCGAGCATGGCGAGGCGCAGCAGGCCCCTGAAGGGGTTGCGCACCGCGCCAACTGCCTCCACACCGGCAGCCTCCAGTTCAGACTGACGGTACAGCACCTCCAAAGTGTACGACGTCTCGTTGCGGACCTGATAGTGTGAAGAGTTATTTGTACAAACGTGTGGCTAGTTCTTCTAATGTCGGGTTATCTGAAGAAGATGATCACCATGTAAAAAGCTTACCTGCATGGGCGAGCGAACGACGATTTTTTTGGCGTTGTAGTGCGTAGTCCTCTCGACAAGCACATAGTAACGCGTGCCATGCCGACTGGGGTGCAGCACGTGCAGTTTGGACACCGACCGTTGGGGACACAGGATCTGATCGTAATATGTTTTTTTGAGCAAATCTAAATAAGACCAGTCAAAAACAGACAATATCTATTTATGACAAAGTTATAGTATTGCATACGTTAAGGGGGTCCATATCGTGTAAGCGTATGGACAGTGTGAGGTCTGTGAGGCGACGCTGCAGGTCAGCAGCAGCAGGGGGCGCAGATGGCGATGTGTGTAACGAGCCTCCCGCAGCTCCAGTGCTTGTCGCGCCCTCTGCCTCGCCAAAACCACCCTCGAAGCTGAGACAATAATGGTTGTTGTAAGTAATGACATCATGAAATTTGTAAAATAATTAATAGCGTTGGTATTGTAATTTATTTATTTGATTTACCAATCCCATTCGTCGCCAACATCTGTCTCCTGCTTGCTTATCGTCTCATCCAAAAGGTCCGCTCCCGATGTATCGCAGCCTGTATAAAAATGAACATATTATTCAGCAATATTGCTCATTAACATTCATCCGATCCAAGAAGGTATTAATCACCCGGTGTGCTGGGGCGGCTGGTGTCGACGTCGTAGTCTGCGATAGCGAGAACGCGGTCATTCCCTGCCAAGTCTGTTTCTGCACGAGTCTTTAAGTACACCGTAGAGCCGGGACCTGGAATTTTATTCTTCATTGGCTTGTGACCCTATAGAATTACTTTTTCGTCGGTCAGTCCTGACAGTTTACCAATATCATTGATGAGCTGTAATCCGTTTTCCGCGGCGACTATGGCCGTGACTACTGCAGTTCTGTCGTGCAGTGCTGTGGTGAGAGCGTGCAGCGTGCGCAATGCGGCCGGGGACAAGGTCACATCGAGTGAGGCGCGGGACTCCAGCGTCACGTAAGTACACAGCCGACCCTCCAGTTCCAGACCGGAGTCCACGCTGCTTTCGCGGCTCGGCTCCTACCAACACAAATAATATGCTGAGACTATATGACTCCATTTACTTGGAGTGTCTTCTTCCAACTTGACATCTTATTCTAGGAAACAAAAGCCCGTCTCAAAATACAGAAGAACAATCTAATGTCTAGTACTAGCTAATTGGACAAAACCCGAGTAATTATTTTGTCATCGCTGGGCTTTATTTTCTACGCCTATGGACATTTTCTTACAGAACTTACTTCAAGATAGATTATGTGACTATACTTACTTGTAACGTAACATTCTTTTGTTCTGGATCTTTTTTTAACTTTTCTTCCCCATCGATGTAAGTTTCGTGTTTGGCTTCGTCCTCTTCTTTTTCACTCAGCACATCGCCTTCACTTTGCTCTGGTGCTGATGAGTCGTCATTGCTAATTTCATCTCCACTTGAATCACTACAAAAATTTAAAAAATTATACCTAACCTTAACATTTTCCATTTCGGCAAATATGACACTACTAAATGACGCTACTCATTTAAATACTTGTAATAACTTACTCAGTGAACAAATGTCCAACAGCTGTGGACATTCTATCTTTGGATCCAATTTCATTTTCTGAATCCGACTCCTCTATATCCAGAGCTCTCAGGAAGGTCATGCTCGCGGCGCTGTACCTGTAGCCCTTATTCTCTTTGCCGCTCGGGTTCCTGATATACGTCATCTCGTTGTCAGTGTCAGCCTCGTCTGCAGACGTCTCAGACTCGAACCCGCTGCGCTTCTTCTTCTTGACTGACTGGGTAGTAGTCTGGTCTGATTCTGTTTCCACTTGCGTCACGTTGGTGTCTAGACGGGAAGACATTGGGTACGCTTTTGCCTGAAAGAACATTTTACGAAGACGATGTCTTGTTATTGTGACGATGTTAATTAAGCGTAGAAGTTTCTAGAAACAATTGTATACGCTATTAATATAAATACATATTAAAGGAACCTGAAACACGGTCGCGGTAAGCTCCCACGGCTTCTGTCGATTGTCTTCTACGGTGGGTTCGAGCAATGGTTCCCAGACGCGTAGCCGCTCATTGTGGCAGTCCGCTTGCAGGCTCAGCGACCCGCTGCCGTGCAATTGCCGGGACCAGTCGTGCAGCGACACCTCACAGGACATCTGGAGTATCATAGGAAGTCTTAAGAAACTACCATTGCTCTCATTTTTATAAAAGATGAGGGGGCAAACGAGCAGCGGGAAAACCAAGGTGTTCATCGACGCCCATGGACATCTCTAAGAATCTGCTAAATGAGAATTTACTTATTTATTTTATTAACTATCTTGCAAACTGTTGGAAATCATGACTGTTGAAAACAAAAGACAGGCAAGATCCAAACTTAATTACCTTGACTACCAACACAGGAATCCTGACAGTCTGCTCAATTTCGAACAAGATTTTGACACTAGGTACCATAATCTCGAAGGTCTCAGTTGGCGTAATACTAGGGTACTTCGGCTGTGCGTAACTGTTCTCCAAGCTGTACTGTGCAGTTGGCGGGTTGCTGATCTTCTTCGGCGCCCACAGATCTTCATCAGATTTTTCTGACCTCGGATATGACGTAAAATTGAATGGTTCCTTCTCTTCCGGTATCGTCAATTCGTTTGTCACTTCTTCTACAATATCTGTAAGCGTAACATTAATATTAAAGAAAACCAAAAGTAAAAGAAATATAGAAGAAATGAAATTATTTTTATACTTACCCATAATTGTGTGCACAGTTGTCGCTGCCACGTGCAGTTCTATTTCCGACACAGATAGACGAACTTTGATTCCCTCCTCAATATTCTTGAATGATTTTGAGAACTCTACGTCGCAAGGCTTCAAAACTAATTGGGGCGGTAAATTTTTAAGTTTTGATTGTAGCTTTGACATTATCTGGGAAAAAACACAGCATTCAACTTTCTATATAAAAGTTATATGTTATATATTGTGAATAAGAAGTTTTTTTGATGAGTTTTGTTAGATTTCTTATAAAAAGTCATCGAACCAGACAACTGAACCTTTAAAAGTCTGTGTACCTGCAAGCCAGCTAGCGACACGACTAGGCTCTCGGTGTTGGAGTGTCGGGAGTAGTCAAGCAACAATTCCGTTCGAAGCAAAAGCGCGTGGCCCTCGCTCTGCGTCAGCTCCGTGAAGAACATTACTTCCGGCTGCCGGCACTGGATCGATATTGACAGACTCGGGTTGTCCTCCGATACTCCTGCCGCTGAGAAATTTAAAAGTAGATTAGGCTAAAGATACAATCAAGATTACTTCAATGATAAAAACATGAAATTCAAACTAACAAGTAGAATAGTATCCACTGGTGGAGTCGCTGCAGCTGGGATAGCGCGCGGCGCAGTTGTTGTTGCCGGGACGTGCGCCATCCGTGTCGCCCACGTATCCGTGGTTCACCAGACCTCCTTCCATTGTCTTTTCTCCTGTTATAAGATAGCTCGACATACATTTCTAGGACACAATTGAAAGAATTAATAGTATTAAATTCCAATCAAATATAGAGTCATTCACTGACCAGGCATGGCGTCGAGCAAGGTCTTGGTTAACTGCAGCAGGAAGGGCAGAGCGAGGTTGAACCGGGTGCGGTCGACGCGCACGTCACAAGTGGCGGCGCGCGAGGACCAGCGTACGCTGGCATCTAGCAGCGGGGGACGCAGCACCGAGATGCCCGCGGACGCGCGAGATCCACCGCCCTGCGACTGGAATATCCTGCACAAGAACATAACATCGTTTGAAATAACTGGGAGTTATTTTGTCCTTTATATATAATATGAATAGTTTATCATCAATTTTGAGTAACTCCTGTGATTGTTCTAATGAACTTTTAACAAAGGCGTTTATTTAAATACAGTTTATTGATTTTTTATTGCGCAACCAAGAAATTATGTAGATACCGCCGTATAACAACATTGTTGTCTGGTCGTATGTCCTCGAGTAGCAAGCTCTGCAGGCCGGCGCGCAGTTCGGCGCTGCCGTCGGAGAAGCAGTCGAGTGCCAGCGTCACCTCGCCCGCCGTCAGCCGCGCCAGCCCGCGGCTCGCGTCGCGCACCGGCGAGCTCATCACCTCATCCATGTCAGAGAATAGCTTCACTTCGATGCCTTCCAAGGTGAACCTAGAATATATTAAAATGTAAAGTTCTATCCAGGTACCCCCTGCCTTTCGTCACAAAAGTCATTTTCAGGGACCTTAACTTCAAGCAGATTTACATAATCTTTTTCGAGTGTATTCAATTTTATTTTACCTGACGGTGACCTCCTTTCGAATAGGGTCGCTCTGCGCAAGGAACGCCTGCAGCTTCTTGACAGCAACGTCGGAGGGTGCCGTCTCCACCGGGGAGCCCGGCACTACGGCACCTTAAACAAATTATTATTTTAGATTTTCCTGTTTCGACGATGCGAAAAGATTTCGTAGGAATCAGAATCGACATTGAATGGTCAAGGTTATAAAATAAATGCAATTCATGAAGGAAGGACACCTTTCGTTTAGCGGATTATGATAATGAGTAACGTAGATAGCAACAACAGTGCAGGTACCGATGTAGTGCGCCTCGCTGAGGTTGCCTGTCCATACGGCGAGCACGGTAGCCAGGTCGTTCTGGCCGAGGTTGACTACAGCACTGTCCATGACCACGTCGGCGGCGCAGAGCAGCAGTTCACGGTGCGCGCCCGCCGCCTGCCGGTACCCTACCGCGCGCTTCACATCGCACCGCACCGATATCTGCTCTACTATCGGCTCCTGAGACAAGGAACATCATCGTCATTACGTCATCGTCTTCGTCAAAGGTAACAGCATAATTCTTTAGCACATATCAAGTCTTCGATCAGTATAGTCCCCACCTGAACCTCTAGCGTGCCAGCCAGGGTCATGACGGCGCGAGACAGCGTGACATTCTCCAGCTTTACCAGTACGTTGTCAATAAGAGGATTGACCACTGGACTGCTCGCCTCCTGGCTCACGTTCAGTGGCTTGAAGAAGTTCTCTATCAGTAAATCACCTGTACATAATCAATACATTAATTAAATTTAAATAATATTAATAATATAATGAAGTAGTGAAAATTAATATTTGGTTTAACATTTACCCATATTTAAAACCAACAAGTCGGGCGATGACGCTTTTTGCGGAAGCAGCAGCACTGGAGCATGGAGCTAGAAAAATAATCATCTTTATTAATAACAATACCAATATCGTTCATTTTCGTTTTTTTTTATACTTTTTCTTGTAACTAAGTAATCCTTCGAAATATTAATTTTTCCAAACTAAAAGCGTGTTGGTGCAAGCGGTTAATCTTTGATAAAAATATATGTATTTATACTTCTATGGCGAGGCTGAGTCTAGATGCGCAGTTTCGCAGACGCTCCGCCCGGCGCCGCGCTTCCCGCTCTGCTGCCGCAGCCGCCTCAGCCGCCGCAGACCCAGCCACCAGCGGCTCCGCAAATTGCTGACACACAACTTAAATAATAAGCAATAGGAAAGGAATAAAAAAATGACATTTAAATAAGTTAAGCTTCCACCTGTAGCTGGTGTAGCAGCGCGCACAGCAGAACGACATGCAAGCGACCCAGGTACACGCGTAGCTCGGCATGCGCGTGTGCACGCAGCCGCGTCGCGGCGCGCACGTACTTCACCTCCAGCACCTTGTCCTCGTCGGGCCACACCAGCTGCACAAGTCACAGAAGGAACAAGTGAATCACTGAGATATTACGTTGTATAGCACACTTATGAAGCAGAATAGGATTATTTTTTAATAAAGCATTTTACTTTTGGATATAGAGTATTGTCAGACAAGTCGTCGATGTGCAGAGAGCCCAGGTAGAGTTTGAAAATGATGCGGTCGTTGGCGCGGAAGACGCAGTCGCTTTCGAGTGCCGCCAACCGCACCTCCACCAGCGCGCTGTCTGCCTGCCACAGCCTCACGTTCACCGACACCGCCCTGTATAACACAAACACGCTGCGACGATAAAGCATATTATAAGACGACTTTACAAGAAAAATAACTAAAGAAATTGTATAAAACACCTCCAGACCTAGGAGAATATAATTGAGTCAAGAATTCTATTCAAATGGGGGAAATAGAGGATAAATCTTCGGGAATCATAAGACAATAAAACTGTTAATAACCTGACAGAATAGCTGAACTTGGTGGCTCCTGGTGGAACAGGCGGGTCCGCTTCTGGCTTCATCAGGTAATCAAACAAAGTCTCAGTCTTCGGCAGCACAGTCTTCTTCCAATTCAAAGCATGTCTACTTTGTATCCTGAAATGTAACAAAATGTTATATAAGAACAGTTATTAATAAGTTGGCGTATTTTAGCCGTCGAAAAAAAGGGGAAACTAAATTAAAAGGAAGAGCGGACCTCGCGGTACTCACTTGTCGTGTTGGTAGGTGAGGTACTTGCAGAGTGTGCGCAGTGCCGTGGCGTGCAGCAGCAGTGTCACCGGCCCTGCATCCGCCACCAGCGCCTGCTCCACGCTGTGAAAGTGCGACCGGAACTCCGGACAGTTGGCTCGAACCTATTCACCGTGATATATTTATGATCCCATTTCTCAAGGCCGTGTAATAAATAAAATCAATATTGAATTTCTAGTTCCGGTTCTAGTTCAATACCTTTCTATACAGTAGATTGAACAAGTCTCCAGAACTTGTTAACAGTTCAAGATATTGCCCGGTGTTGCTGTGATGTTGCTTGTCAGTCAATAGAGCCTGATCCACAGAAAGTTGGATCGCCGGACCGTACTCCATCAGCGCTACGTCCAGGCACACCTTTGTCACACTCAGCATGATGTACGGTCGCTCCACCTGCTCGCTTGATCGGCTCAAGTTTATCACTATTTCTCCTGTTGGAATACGTACACATTAAAGGATACAAGATTACTACTACGCAATTTAGACATACTCAGTGAATGCAGGTTAGGTATTCTATCTATGCTAACCGATGACGAAGCGCATGAGAGTGCCAATTGTGTTGCTAGGCGAGACGTTGTCGTCGAAGCCGGGCAGATCGACGGAGCGCGCGTACTCCTCCACTTCGTCGTCGCTCAGCTCGCTGATCCCGGTCTCTAGTGGCGGTGTCGCTTGCACCTTCACGTGGTCGTGCTTCGTTTCTGCCGCCCTGTACACCAAATTAATAATTAATCCCATGGTAATGATTTTAGCACCGGGTTGGTTTATTTAGTCACATCTTACGTTGACCAAAAAATGTAATGAAACCAGTTTTACCTATTTCTACTGAGATAAGCGGCGACAATCTTCTGCCTCAACTTAACGAGCTCGTTGTACCCAGGATCTGCAGATACGCGGTCTAACTCCAAAGCCTCCGCCAGCTCAGGGTCCTCCAACTCCTCGACATAGTCCCCGGAGTCCATGAAAGATACCGGCACAGTGTTAGGCACGGGTATAGGAAGGTTATCACAGAAGTCCAACAAATGGCCGATGACGCGATCTGACAAGTTCAGTTTTAAACTCGAAAGAGAAATGTTCAGTTTGTATCTGAAATGGAAAGAAAATACCTTAGTACTGGACATTAAAAGGCAACTCGTTTTTGTATTTTATAGTCTGTTTTACCTCGGCAATAGCTTATAGTCCTTTTTAATGCTGCTGGAGAACACGAGCTGAGCTTTAACCTTGGGCACGAGATGCAGCTCGGAGTCCCCGTACTTGCGAGACTCGCGCCACGGCTCCGTCCACTCGCAGAATAAGATCTGGAAATTGCTTTCATGTTTTACAAAAACTTACTCTCTCTCCTACGTAAAATTTTGGATCATTTTATTAATTATGTCAAAAATTGTAGACAGAGTCCACTAGCTTCAAATCGGACAAAACTATTAGAGCTCGAAATTTTAAAGTTGTAAAGCAATCTCACTTGATATGAGCACTCCGCATGCAGGCGGTCGTACAGTTTCTCCTCCAGCTCCATGCAGGTGGCGTCCTCCAGCGCCAGGTCTGCGGGTTGCAGATCGGAGCGCACCACTACACGGCTCACGTCTATTATCATCACGCGACCAGACCTGCCCAAAGTGTACGATGGTTACCACTTACACACACTCACGCCCACAACCAAAAGGAGAAAGCAAAGAATAAAGCTTTCCATTTGGCACGATCCTGGCGCGTCTCTCTCAACTCACAAGACCGGGTAGGCTCTTCAAAGACAAATAATAATAATCAATTGTGAAAATAATATAAAGTTGAACTAACTTATGGACACAACCATGTTCAGGGACCACAACACAGGGTCCCTTCAGGTCAACGTTGACCTGGAAGACCTTGCGGCGGCTGACTGCATACGCCAGCACCGAGCGACCCACACCACTAGCCTTGTCTACTGCTACTGAGAGCTCTTCCGCCAGGTCTTCTGGCGTCATCGAGTGCGTTTGAAAGAAGTTGATCAGCTCTGTAAACGAATGCTGAACGAAGAAGAAAGAATTAGTATTGCTCATTTTGGAATATATTTTAAAAATACTTAACTGCAGTTCTGCCTTCCTGTACTTACTTCAACATAAAGCAGTTCCACCGGCTCCATCAGCCAGCAAAGACCATAGTCAGCCTCGCTATTGCAAGGGTTCCGCTCGAAGTCCACCGCCAGGAGGTTGGAACCGGTCAGCGCGGCCGCCTTCTCCGTGGTCAGCAACGGAACCAGGTCGCCGTCTGAGGTGGCGCCCTCTATCACCATGCTCTCAGCACGCGCTGACAACTAAAAAATTACACACATGTCAATAAAGAAAAACAATTTAATATCATAAGAACTTGTTAGTTTGTAACCTTGTACGCCTTTGCCGAGGGTCGGGTCTCCAGTGAGGCGAGAAACTGCGTGAGGGTCACTACCAGCACCTCTTTGCTTCTATTCATCAACGTTAAGGAACAGTTTGCCAAAGTCAAGTTTAACTTGTGTTCTGAAATAAATTTTCTTTTAATTTCTTCCACATTTGGTAGGTGAAATAAATAAGGTTATGTAAGATTTTTTAAAAATTATAACACTTAAATTTGAAGGCATATAAATCTCGTAAATCAGCACTTACCAATATACTGCTTAGATTTATCCTGCTTCGGTACACCTTCAACATAACCTATAAGTTCGCAGACCCTCTTCTTCTCGGGACTGGAAAGATGACTCCACAGACTACGACTTCTCTCGGTCTTTACACAGAGTTCAACGTGCGCTTTGCTTTCTGCTTCCGAATCACTCTCCGCGTCAGAACTTGTCGGCTTCCACCAGTCGAATTCACTTTCTACCACTTCTATACGATCTGGTTCTTGTGACAGTAACTGTGAAAAGAATTTTTGCTATAAGATCTATTTACTTACAGCCCTATGAATAAAAAAATAAAAGAAATGTGATTCTTACCTCAAACTTAGCCTGTTCCCTTGCAATGACCACAGATATGATAGGCAGGTTATCTTCGCACTTCTGCAAATCCAATTTCAGTTCTATATCGTTAGGGCTTCGGAGAGTGCTCTTGTAGGTCTGTTTGTATACAGTATAGTTTTCCTTGTGCTTCTTTATAGCTGCCCATGTGTACGGTCTGACACGTTGTTCGACTACCACGTTGTATGCGTAGCGCCACCACTTCTTGACGTCCTTTGATAATGGCACCCCGGGATGGAGGTGACGGTATTTCCTACAATAATTAAATAAGTAAGGTCATCGTAAACTTAAAAAAACGTTAAAGCAAAAGAAATTTACTTTAATTAACAAAGAGAAGAACAAACTAATAAATGAAACGGAAGGTTAGCAAAGAAACTAAAATATGGAATATTAAGAGATTAGTCCAAACCTATTTAATTTGATGCGTCGGAAGGAAGACAGAAGGTTATCGATTGAGAGGTATTGCCGCCGCGACAGCTGCAGCGCGCTGTCCGCCAGCACGGCGTCCAGTAGCAGCCGAGGAGTCCTGGCTTCTCCGGACCGGTTTATTAGCACTTTCACCTTGCACGTCACTGGCTTTAGTACTGGAACAAAAGAGTACGTGTAATTTTTTTCTTTGATTCTTTTTAACGTAGGTTAACTTACCTTATATTATATAATTTCGTAATTTAAAAACAATACTTACAAAACTCGAAATCCTCATGATGCATAGAGAACTTATTGAGACCAGTCAGCATATAGTGTTTCCAGTTGTAATACTGCATAGGAGTGATGTGTGCTGTCTCAGCGTCATCCAGCGCAGTGGCCGCCGGATTCCAGTACAGCGAGAGTGACTCCAAGCGTACCAGCTGGTACACGGTGGATGCGTTTACTGGGGTCACTGATGGCTTCCATTTACTAGACGAGAAACATTCAAATTATTGCTATTTAATACGCCCAAGTTAGTTTCAATCTAAAGTTTTTTTTTTTTTATTTAAGTACTAACCTGTTAGTCGTTTCTATAGAGAGACTCTGCAGACAAAGACCACATGCCAGAGGACCATCCTTCGAGCTGATAGAGTCCTCATACCTCACGTGGACATTTCTCACATAAATCTGAATATTATTTACAATCGCTGTAAAGAGATTCTCGAAGAAATTCTGAGGTCCTTTTAATATCTCACTTTCCGCTTCCAAGTCTTGTAAAATCTTTCTCTTTGCGGCTCTAGTGAGTCTTCTCTCTCTTTCAGGATCGAAGTAACTGTTGGAGATGGCAGGTCCGACCAGCAGCAACACATCCTCAATATTCACCACCACAGGATTGGTGTATAACCCCGACCATGGTATTTGCAGGCTTATACGGCCGATGGTGCCAATTTTCACATCAATTGGTAGGTCTAATTCATACTGTGAACCAAATTTATACGATATAATTTTAGTTATCAATTTATTTGGAGTATTTTTAATACTTCAAAACAAATTCACAAATTCGGAATCACAAGAAATGCAATCTCCAACTTACCAGTGCTTCAGGTTTAAGCTTGAGGTCTGTGAGGTTGACATTCCCGGAGAAGATGCCAACGTTCAGGTTCTCAGTATCTAAGTCCTGCACGTATTTGCCGAGCAGGCGGTTCAAGATACCTGCCACTGCGCCCTCAAACATCGTCACTTCTTTTTATTCACCTTCTGGAAATTGTGCCAGTTATTAAACTTTGCGTCAGTTTTGACTGTCGCAATACATTCACAAAAACATATTGTCGTATGTTTTAACTAACATTAGTATCAGAAATCAATACAACACACTATGGATGTTTAAATTTACAAACAAAAGTACACAATATATGAGGTGTTCGATAAATAACATACTAGTTAAGCCTCGTATACTGTTTTAAAATTAATATATGTTTTCGGATTTATTTCACATTTGTAGACATACAGCAAAATGTGCTTAATCAGTTAACTTATAATAGGGAACAAATTTTTTCGTGTTGAATTGGATTCCTAGGATAAAAATAGACTTCTATGAAATTAGCAGTGTAGTTTGAATTGTGCATTTTCGAAATACTACGAATTTAAGTAAGTATTAAGTAATTTACTAAATAATAATACCTCAAAATAGTCAACATAAAGTAGAACCATTTCCGCAAAGTTAGTTATTTATATATAAGTTAAATTGTTAACATCCACGTCTAACGTAAACATTTTAAATGCACCAAAAACAACGCACTGTTCTATACAAACAACTTTCAGAGACTGTCCTGATAACATCCCAATCAGAAATAGATAATTTCATATCGGAAACTTTCATCCTTGGATTGTTCTGTGCGACAAAAATACGGACAAATTAACATCTGTATTTATACGTTAGGAAAGATAAGACTTATCAGTTTCCAGAGATAGCGACACGATAATTGTTAACAAAACATATAATATGTTGTACATACACGAGACAATGTTATTGCGTTTTTATATACATAAGTGCTTGCTAATTAATTTTGGTTTTAGTCTATTCTTAGCCGTTCATGATTCGTGTAAAGGGATAAACTTTAGAGGTATGTAGCAACCTAAACTGTGCAATTTTGGATAGCAGTAAGATGGTCGTATAAAGATAAAATCGTCATATTTTCGGCCATTTTATGGTAATTCTTTGAAAAAGTATACCCGGACATACTGTTTAAAAAAATTAAAGAACATCATAAAATGATTTAATTGTTGATCGAAAATCAGAGTGAAAAATCCCGGAAGTGCATATCAAATAATAATTTTTAACAAAAAAAATAGAATCGTTAAAGCAAAAAAAATAGTCGTCCGAATTTTTAGTTACAGTTGTTTGTTCGTCAAAGCTTAAGAGTTATATTTCTTTTAAATTTTTTCCGTATTGCATTTAGGTTAATTGCCGTATAAATTAACAAAGCGTCGATCTCATTATGAATTCCTAATGCGTACAGACATCAGAGTTGCTAAAACACCATTCTTATGCATGGAAATATCATCATTATGAATGCAAATTCCATTTAAATGCGAGTTATGAGTATACGTGTTTTTTTGTTCTCGAACGTAATTCTCTTTATTTATAACGATTTACAGTTAACATATAAAAAACGTTTCAATAAAGTCATCCATATTTTGCGAAATATAACCGAAAACCAAAAAAAAACATCTTGTTATTTCTGTTTTTTCATCCATAATGATGCTATTATTTCCTTATACAAATGTTTCCGTAGTGAAAACTTACGATTCAAGCCTTCGGAGAGGAGTATAATACTTTTTTAAACTTTTACTATTTATGTGCAAAAATGAAATCTTATATGAAACCATGTTGTTTCTTTGATTGAACATGAAATTGTGTTTTCGATTTAATCAATGTTGCATTATATCATGCCATGGGAAAGACACAAACTTACTATCGATTAATAAAAGACTTTGTTAAAGGTATTGAACTACGTACATAGAGAAATAAAATTTATAACATATTTTAAAATGTTTAAAGAATTTATAATAGTTATCTTTAAGCCGTGTTATATAAGAACTGTAAATTATATTTCCTATGACCGTGATCTTACTGCTTTACATAGAGGAAAATATCAATATCGATGTATAAATAAAGGTGAATAGATAAATCCACTAGCAAACATCGTTCTAACAGTAAAGGTCAGGCAAGCGCAATAGAATAATTGATACGAACAACGAAATTCTCCGCAGCTAAAATTAGAACACCAATAGAAATCAACAAACAATAGAAAACGGGATTATTCCTAATTTAAATTAATAGATTCTAAATTCAAATTGAAAGAATACTTTTTTTTGTAATTTGAATAAAGAATCATACGATTTGTTTCTTTTTACGAAAAAGGTTTTACTAATAAGGTTTTAATATAATTTATCTTAAAACGTGCTAAAAATAAAATCCTTACCTTTTCTTTACATGTTCTTCCAACCGAACAGCCGTGTAAATCTCCCCGAATGGTTTTCTTTAATGACGTCAGTGGAAAGCACTGGGTGTTTTTGACAGGTGTCAAGCTGGGCGCATGTCTGTTGTTGGCGCCTGCGTACATTATGTAAGAAAGCCTCAGGAATACCCGGCGCCGCGGTCAATACTGTTTACGATCCAACTAACTTGTTTTACGATAGTATATATATTTGAAACTGTATGAAATGTTGATGAGATTATAATAAGATTAATAATACCTTTTTTTTAGCAAAGAATACACCTTTTTATTATTTATACAGGTCAAAAAACGTTACGCAAGAAAAATAACTTAAATTTTAATTAAAATAATCTCTACCAACCCTATTCATCTAAAAATAATTATTATATATGACTACTTAGTAACTTTCCAAATTAACTAAAACGTTACTGTTACACTACGTTGTATATATAACAAATCTAAGAGAGCTGAATGTACAAAAATAAACTTAAGAAGTCGACTAAAAAGGGAAGAAATGGCATTCTAGACAGTTTATTCATAAAAACCACACGTTAATTACATAAATTTTAATCGTGATAAAGTATCAAGAAGGTTTGCAAATCATATAATAAAATATCAAGAGATTCTAGGCAACAGCAAACAGGCATTGCAGGAGCCCGCCGGCACGAGCAGAGCAAAGCAGTCGGAGGGGCAGAGGGGACACGAAGCTGCGAACTGACGAGAGTAGGTACACCCGGTCCCAGGCTCCCTATCCCAATTGCTAGCTGGAGTGTTCTGGAAGGAATACAAAATAAAATTAACATACGAGTAAGCGACAACCTGGATGCGATCGTTGCCCATAGATATCCGCAATTGCAGATGCGTTTATTACGAAAACATCCCAGCATCCTAGTTTAATCGGTCCCTTCCATATTGTAATTGCGCGTGTTACCTGAATAAAGCTAGTCAAGGCACAATGCATGACGTCATAGGCCGGGCAGTTTAGGTACAGCCCCTGAGGTAGCAGCTCGCTGTCAATGCACGAGTTTTTCAATTTGGCCACCGCGGCGCTCCACTCGGGGAATTCCCGCTTGAATTCATCGAAGTGTTCCGACAATTTTTTCTTATCAACTTTACCTCCGGTCATCCAGCCTGCTTCTTTAAATATACATGTCATTTGGTCGCACTGTAATAAAATAGACGATTAAAACTGATTTCTTTAAAATAGTTTCAGAATGCGTATGTCACCGGTAAATCATTTACGCTGCCTGTTTGTAATTTGCCTAGGCAAATTGTAAAGCGGGATAACCTCTTCATAAATTACCTTTTTACATTTTGTACATTTGTAAATGTAGACTTTTTTGAATCAATGTGCAATTTGCCGAGTTTTTATTATTTGCCTAGTTAAATTACAAAGGGTAATACATGAAATAGATACTCACCTGATTGACTTTTGTTCTACATTTGGCCGATATATCTGGTTTCACTACTGAAGGTAAACCTGTACACGAATAAATCTGAAAAGACATGGCAATTTTACTAACTACTAAGATTGCTCCTATAGACACTTTGGTCAAATTATAACTTACTTCATTTGATATGAATCCACATCGTATTGTCTCCTCAGTGGCGAAACAAGTCACCTATAAGTGAGAACTTGTTATTATTAAATCTTACTAATATTAGAAATGCGAACATTTTTGTTAGAAGGTATCTTCAGAACGGTTGACATAGCCTGGAAGAACACATAGACTGCAGATTAAGTTTTTTCTAATTCCACGCAGACAAAAGCTAAATTTTAATAGAATAAAGAAAGACGAAAGAAATCAGAAATATTCTTATTGAACTATCGTGTAATTTGGTGACACCGTAGTATTTAGGAGACAAAGAAAATAAATGAAATCGTAGTTTACATAACAAACACAATGACAGAATATACAATAAATAAGCAGCATTGACCGCCCGGCAAATACTAATAAATGATTTTAAATTAACATCGTACAATTTGAAATATGTTACGTCTTCGGTCGTTGAAATAAAGAACATTTTCTTACCGCGATGTATATTATGAAGAAAATAATTTTAAACATTTCAACAGAACAGTATTAACACTTCACACAGACTGAAATGATTGTTTATTAGTACAGATTAATGATGTCATATCTTGTTTATATGAACCAATAAGACGGTATCCTCGTGACCCTGAGGTCACCAAAGTTATCGTAATACATTCGTATTTCGAGTTTTTGGGCTTCATAGGCGCTATTATTTAGAAAATCATCCGTCCCTAATTTGCCGAATATGCTATATATCTAAAGTGTTGCCAGTTGATAAATAAAGGGGGGGGGGGGCAAACAATGATCTAAGGGAAGGGATTCTTAGTAGATTCTTTTTTCAAACGAAAAAGAATTTTAACATGTGGTTATATTTAGATTTATTATCTATCATCTATCTAGAATCGTAGGGATCTTATTATTTCTAAGTAGTTCTGATATCTATTTTCGATTCTAAGGTGGGTGTAGCATTCGTTGTGCTATATTTGGCTCGTTCACGTACCGACACGTGTTGCCGGCTCAAAGGTCTGACATCGACTGACGTCCCCTCTCTCCGGCATGTACTTATGGCGTGTACGCTCGAGACAAACAACACCACGTTTATGCATACACTACATCCCTTCCTTTTTTTAATATATTTAATCTTGCTAAGTATAGGTACTTGTATTCTAAAACTATCAATTAATGGAATACAAGTATACATGAAATTCAATATCCTTAGTTTCTCTACACTTCTACATGTATATCCATTTTGTAAGTTTAATAAACTTAGATTCAATAACAATAAATATAAATTCACTTAATAATTATTTTCACAACAACTGCATAGATATTTGTCACCATCCTATACTTATCTTCGATGTTTCCATTATTTCTTCCTTCTATATATGCTCTACTTCCTTCCATTTGTTATTTAGAACGCGCCAGTGTCCCTCAATTCTTTTTGAATAAACTTATTTTCGTCTTGAGATTTGTCACGTTAAAATATTCCGAACTTCAATATCGCCATCAATACCTGTCTCTACCGTATGGGAAGCAGGATTTTAATTGACGCTTACTTTGTTATCTTTGTGTAAATTATTAATGTCGAAGCCAAATATTTTGCTAAAAAGATATGTTTAATAATTAACAGTACTTAAAAGTACTTAACAGTTTGAATGTATCCTAGACGTGATAATTTACGCTAGTAGTAATAATAAAATTTTACTCTCTACTATGAATGTTATGCACTGTAGACACAGTACTAGTTGGTTGGAACACCAAAAGCTGTAACTGATGTAACTGTGCCCGCGACTTCGCTCGCACGAAATACTGATTTGGATAGCATTTCAATCACTTAGGCTAATCACTTAATATTATTAAGTTTTATACTGAAACATATTAAGCCCACTAAATACTCGCACAAAATTCACATATTCCAATACATCAAAATCAGTCCATGACAATGGTCCCAGGCTCCTGTCCATCAATGTACCAAACCTCATCCAAATTGGCTCAGCAGTTCCCGCTTGAAAGAAGGTCAGATAGACAGACAGACAGATGAAGCCACCCACGCATAAATAAGTCGCACATCAATAAGACAGACAGATGAAGCCACGCACGCATCAATGTTCTGTCCCTATATTATGGAATAGTCAATGATAATTTTCTTTTTCTAATACATAACCTGAAAATGACTAACTTACTATTGTTAACAATTTAATGTTTCTTCTCCTTCAAAGATGTTATATTTTCTATTGAATGAAGGTTTCAAAAGTCAAGACTTATACCTTTTTTATATTTAATTACCAAATTTATTTCCCAGCTTATTTGAGATCTTTCAACCCACAACACAGTCACAGTCACTGACGGTATTCAATTATGTTGAACTTTATATTTAAGTTGATGGACAATATTTAAATGCCACTATAAGTTTTCAATTTATCAGATGTTCATCCTATATGTAACAATGAATTGCTAATGACTACTCTGAACATAAATAAACATAAAGAGACAAACTCTTTGTCCCTTCTTTTCACAGGTCAGCAAATGAACTTGTCATTGCCGTTTATTCTCTAATGTTATTTACAATCAAACAGTAGGTATTATGTATGAAAATAGTTAAGTTACTTGTAGAACTAAGCGATAGCATTTTATTCCACAATCGTTTTTTATTCAGCTTATAATAATCCAAATGGAATGCCATTTAAAAGTAAAATTATATATTATGTCAACAAGATCTCTTTGATTTTAAACACACTTTTAGGCGGTGTGCTAAAGTCGTTTAAATAAGTCGATAGTGCGATTTTGGTTCAATATTTCATAAATCGGTATTTCTACTCCCTAAATTGAGTTTAAAGCCGTTAAAACTTAATTCAAGTTGACTCACCAATTTTTTGCGGGTTATTGATAACAAAATCCAGCTTCAACATACCCCGACTGCGACTAGTGTGTCCTCAGCGAGAAGTTGCCTAAACAGCGACTTTTACAATGAATTCCTCCATGACTTGGTCCAATAATTATGCTATAAATAAAGCTATTTCAGAAAGAAAACATTAACCTTTATTTATTCTATTTTACGGCAACTGTAGCATGTCATTATCAAAGAAAAACACGTTTCCGCTCTTATTTTTACCAAATTAGAGCAATAAAATCAATTTCAGATGTATTTTAAATACAGAGTCATCTATCGCCGGAAGCGGAAACTACTTATCTGTTTCACAATTATTGAATCGAAATTCGTTTAGTGCACAGTACATCACGAGATTTGAACTTACATATACTCGTAGTTAATAGTATCTCTGGAAACTTCACCAATCCAGCATTAGCCACGGATTCGTTAATAAAGCCAATTATGATGACTTTAGTAACTGGCAATATAATTTTAGAAATTGCGTTATACATATTGTAAATATTCATAACAAAACGTGACTAATAGTCAATCACATTTTATATCATTTTGTACTACGTATTTTGTAGTTAGGTGCTTATAACAGGGTTAAAAGAATTTCTTCTCAAAAAGACAAAGGAATAGTCACTTACTTGTAAACAATATCGTACAACGTACATAATATAGTCGCCATTGATTTGACTTAAATTTACTTTACTTTTTTACAAAAATCTAAAATGTATTCAGGTAGCTTAGATTTAAATTGATTAACTGAACTTACATTTATAAAGATGACAGTAACAACTTATGAAGCTGTACTCCTTCGTATGTTATACATATATCTCTTACCGCTCACTTTCGGCACAACAATTAGACTTGCTCGCCGAGTGCTGCGTTTATTAATCTGTAACTTTACAAACGACATGTTATTGATGATTTGTTTTGTTGATGGTTTTTCTAATTATAAAACATGTACTGTAGGCATATAGTTGATTAATAGTCATTATTTTGATTTTATTGTAGATAATGTATTTCCTCTCACCTTAATTTAGATACCTCTCACCTTAATTTAGTTAACAGTTTGCCTCACACAAATTTTAGCTTCAAACTTCTTACCACTCGTAATATCAATTTATCGATCAGGGTTTCAATCTTCTTAATTTATGTACTTGACAACTTTTCAGGCTGTAAATGAACTTATCGATTTAACGATGAGATGATCTAACCAATTTAATGGTCAGCCATGCTGCTTTCACGTCCGGAAGACATGACTGATCTAACCAATTTAATGGTCCGCTATGCAGCTTTCATGTTTGCAAGACATGAATCATCTAACCAATTTAATGGTCAGCCGTAGTGCTTTTATGTCTGTAAGACATGAATGATCTAACCAATTTAATGGTCAGCTATGCAGTTTTCATACTTGTAAGACATGAATCATCCAACCAATTTAATGGTCAGCCGTGGTGCTTTTATACCTGTAACACTTCAATGATCTAACCAATTTAATGGTCAGCCGTGGTTCTTTTATATTTGCAAGACATCAATGATTTAACCAATTTAATGGTCAGCTATACTCTGTAGACAAGTGCGAAAGTTCTTCTTCTTCGTCGTTACAGTTTTGTCAGATTGGTCATGGTCATCAAGTATCAATGACCTACTTTACCAGACGCCACCTAGTCGCTGCCTTTTTAGTACATTGGTGGTCCAAGGTATCTTCAGCATTCTTCTCCAGCACCACATCTCGAGCGCGTCTATCTTCTTTTTCTCACTCTCGTAGGATCCACGTTTTGGACGCATAAAGGAATACGGAGAGTACAAGCGATCGTACAAGCCGAGTTCTTTTTTTCTTTGCATTCTTTGCAATTTCTCCATCGCTGACCTAGTGATTGCCATTCGTCGCTTTATCTTGTCTATACAACCGCCGGTGTTCGTGCGAAAGTTGAAAGCGAAAGTGCGAAAGTACTTACACTTTATTGGAGGTGACTGTACCTATGTTATTGAAGTTATGTATACACATAAGGTTGACCGAGATTAACATCGCCGAATGCTATTATCCATCTACACACTATTTGTCAACCATAGGTCGAAGACAGTCTTAAAAATGCATTTGATTATTGTTTTTGGTCGAAATCATGCCAATATATGTATATGTCGTGGATATACTACCCTCGTAGTAAAGTAATGTTTATTTTATCATTGTAATAGTTCGATATTTTCTTTTCTTATTCATTATTCATTTCCTGCTTGATCAATAGACCGGAATTAATTTGTCGCTTGCACATGTATTTCGATGTGACATCGTAGTGCACTTTGTAGTGAACAACTTAGACGGACGAGCACAGCAATGAATCTGTTTCTCTGATAGTCAAATATTGTGATCTTATTTCGATATTCAATTGGTTAAGTTTACATTCCGAACCGTTTTTAAAACATTCACGGCTGGGAACAACTTAAGGCCACGTTTTACAAATAACTATCATATGTAAACAGAGAAGACTGTTGCTATTTTTGGCAATCCATTACCTACTATTTAATTTTTTTGTAAGGTAAGGCAAAATTATTTAAACAATACTTTCGTCCATCATTTACTGAAATGTTTTTTTTTTACTTTACTGGTCTTCTCTTTCCTTTTTTTTTTCAAATACAATTTATTTCCGTACTCACGGTTTTATCCTCGTCGCCAATGTAGCATTCGTTGTGCTATATTTGGCTCGTTCACGTACCGACACGTGTTGCCGGCTCAAAGGTCTGACATCGACTGACGTCCCCTCTCTCCGGCATGTACTTATGGCGTGTACGCTCGAGACAAACAACACCACGTTTATGCATACACTACATCGGGGGTTGCCTGCCTTCAGAAAAAAATCTTGTAAATATTTCTTAATATGTTCTTAACTTGTTTTTAAATGGTTAGGAAAATAAATAGAAAATACAACATGAAATATTCATATATTTCTAACATTATTTACACTTCACACTTCTCTACGCTATAATGAAAAGAAATCTTTCTTGAGCACTGGCACAGATTTATCGTCCATAAGATTTTGTGGTAGTTGATTATCAAAAAATGGATACTTCGGATGCCACCAATCAAATACGTATATATTAATCACTGTGTCCAACACCACAGAAACTTCTGGCAAAATATCTTTAGATACATTGTGATATCCAGAGTTGAAACCTAGATGAAGCCTGCGATGCCTGAATCCTTGTGATAACACCACCTTCACTGAAGACAATGTCATACCCATAAGTGGGGGTATTTGGTAAAAATTTTGGCAGATCACCTGTAATTTAAAACAAATAAATTAGGGACTTGTAATATATGTAAAGAGCGTCGGTGGCTTAGAGATCAAGCATTTGACTTGCAAACTGCAGGTCCTGGGTTCGAATCCCGCCATTTACCAATGTGTTTTTCCTTTTCCTATTTACATATGTACATTTATCCGACGTTCTTATGGTGAAGCAAAACATCGTGATGCAACCTGCACATATCTGAGAAGAAATTCCACTTGGATAGCATGGTAAACTATGGACTAATCGGAATCCTTAACTTAGGGTGGGCTCCGAGCCCCTTGGTGGGGACGTATAGTGAGCTGATGATGATGAATATATGTAATTCAAAGTGTTTTATATTACTTTTTTATTTATTCTTTTGACTCGGCGCAGGCAAGCCATCAACCACAGCACTGGTGGCCAGCACCAAGCAGTTCACACAATATGTCATTCATTTTGTAAGAATGCGGTGCACTCATGTGACTGCTGGTGGCCACTCGCTACAGTAATGTCAAGTGTACAAATTTTTGTTTGGTTTTTTACCTGTAATACTTGTGTATCCTCATCAGGATTAGCATCAATCCTACTCAACTCTTCAATAAAGTCTATTGCTTTATTCATTTCTACCCTCTGTTTAGGTTGCATCTTTTTAAACTTAAAATAAACTGACCAATGCGTAGAACCTTTGCAGTACCACACATTAATACAACGTCTTTTCACAAGTGTGTGCGGCTGACTGTCATGTACAGCTTGCTGAATGACTCTCATGATGAAAACATTATATGTATAGTAAAGGGCTCTTATTACTCTCTGACGGAGACCGTACAACTTATTATTGTTTTCTAAACAAAGCCGTTCAGGTAAATTAAGATGATATCTACAATAACGTTTGTAAAAACTACGCCAGAATGATTCTCGTTTGGTTATTGCATATGTCGCTTTATTTATTCTGGCAAAATTACCAACATCCTCAGGTTTTATGTACCAAGATACTAAGTACCATATAATTTCAGGGTAGATATTGCCAGGACGTTTCACAACATCTTCAGTCTCAGACCTGGAATGGTTTCGTTTCTTTTTAAAAACTAAACTTTTGGCACCATCTGCATCTGTTTCTTCAATTACGTCCAGATCATCTTCGTCAATCTGGTCCCAAGATAATTCTGATACGGCTATATCGGTTGGTACAGTTTTCTTTACTCTCCTAACAGTCTTTGAGGCATTAGCACAATCATTTAATGTAAAATCTGCAAATGCTGAAATATATTTCAATTTAATTAGTCTTGTTACAGCTAACAGTTAATAAATCTTGACTAAAAACTGAGGAAAATATATATAAAAGTATGTAACATGCTGAATTACATGATACATAATATTCAATGTAGGAAGCTCTACTTTGACGTAATACTTGTAACAACGTTTATTCAGGGGTCAAGTTATAAGAAGCATGTAATAGTGTTGCTGCAAAGTACAGTAAAATAACATAACCTTATAACCATATACTTTAAAAACTTTACGAACCTTGACTGATCCCTTTTTTATTTTGACCCTTTTTCTTAGGCATTTAACCAAATTGGTGTAGACATTAATTGAAAATCCAGCTACAAAGCTATTTTAATAGGCTTGTTTTAAAAGCTTTTTTTTCAATTGTTTACTGATGAATAGGTATTTTAGGTTCTACATTAACCTTATTAGTATTTTTAATTCTTAAATGTGGGCTTTTGCCGCTTGCTGTTTTTTATTAATTTACTACGTAAATACTTGATGAAGTAAAATAAAAACAAAACTTGAACTTATACATTGAATATTGCTTACTTTTTTTGAGTGATGTTGGTGTTGCTAGTTGTTAATTTCAAGAAATTTTTAATTTGGTGTTATAGAATGACATCGTCTTTTTTGTGTGACCAATAAGACCAGCCAACTAGTCGTAAATAACTCGAAACAAATTATTTAACAATTTTACCTATTATTTACATAATCAATACTCACTTAATATTTTAAATAAGTTGTAATTCCAATGGGATTAATTTTATCAAAAATATATCTTCTCTGTGTCAACCTTATCTTTGATATGATTGACGTTCCAATCCAAGATGGCAGACATGCCGCTTGAGCCGAGATAGTATGGAATCATAGGAGTATAAGTTTTAGGTGTGTCTTTTGAAATATCGAACTATAATGTCCCCCGAAATTTTAACTAATGTATTGAACGAATATTTCGACAATGTGAAGCAACGCTCACGGGTTCTGTGTGCTAGATTTAGGTAACGTTAGTGTGGAAACATATGTAATACGGTGGACAATTTTTTGTGTTGTTCGGTGTACCGTGTACGATAAATATTCTGGTTTGATGTTAAATTAAAATGTGGAATATGATGTGCGACGTGATGCCCACGATATCTGAAGATAGTATCAGCCAGCGGAGTTCGCAGTTTTCGGGTGAGGATGCGAACTTCGAGCAGCTCATGGTGTCGATGTTGGATGAGAGGGACAAGCTAGTGGAGAGCTTGCGGGAGACCCAGGAGCGTCTTAACGACTCGGAAGTTCGCCTGAAGGATGTAGAGAAGGAGCGCGACTCGCTACAGCGGCAGATCGCCGCCAACTTACCTCAGGTCAGTGCCATGATAAGTTCTTCCTTTGCAGTCCAAGTCATTTGAAATATACTACTTTAGCTTATTGATAAAAAAGGCAGATCAAGGTCTAATACAATATGCAGATGCTTTACCTTGAACTCAATACACCAAGAAATTAAATACTGGTAGATATTATTTTAGTAAGATTCAATCTACTTTAGAATTTGTAGTATGATAAATTAATTGAATAAAGTCAGACAGTCCATCTTATTTTGCTTGAAGTTGAATTAGATTTATTTCTAAAGGCTACATAAGGCAATTTGAAGATGTCTTCAGATAGTTGACAAATGTGTAAGTAAGTAGTGGATAGTGGTATGTATTTTTGGGTGTAATACATATCTTTGTTAATTCCCTTATTCAAATTTTTTTATTAGTTAAAAAGTGATAAAATTCATAAAGCCATCAGATAAATAGATAAACTAAATATTTTTGGGAAGGCTGTCAATTTTTGGAGGATGTCAATATTTAAAAAGTTTCCAACATTACATCACTGAACAAACGAAACTATTTATCTGATAACATTATGTATCAGTTACCTTCATCTTAGTATATAAAGTAATATATGCATAATTATTTTACTATATTTATGCAATGAAATTTACTTCGTTGTTATTTCTTCATATATACTTTATTTTCTTAGACCTTCAACTTCTTGGACCTTGTTTTAGGGGAGTTCTAAGTATTTGTCACTTGTTATTGCTAAAAAACAAAATAACCATAGACATGCTGAAGTTGAAAGGTTTCAGATGTATTTCCTCAAAGTAATAGCATATAATAGAATATTTTTAACTATAATATCTATGTATTTCTTAGCATAATGTACAACAGAGAATAATTTGTTTGATCAATGATTAGGTCAAGGCTTTGCTAAGACCGTGCTCAGCCACCGGAACAGTTGGCAATAAAAACTTCTGTAAACACAAGACATTTGCATTTTGTTCTACTAAGATACTATTCTTGTCTATTGTTATGTAAAATCATACATTTAATGTTGGTAATTATGTAATAAATTTTTCTGAAATAAAATATAAACACTAGCCGTTGCCCACTACTCTGTGTTTTCTTCCAAACAATGTTCTAGATCTATGCCAAATTTTATCAAGATCTGTTGAGCGGTTCTGAAGATAATTTTAAACAAACATTCCTCCATCTAAACTTAGGCATTTTCAATATTAGTTAGATTAATGGTTTGGTTTCAGTCATTAATGAATAACTGGAATTAGTGTAATGGAAAATGACAAAGTTATTATTTTGTATTGATGTGTTATGCCTTGAAGTTAATGGCAGTAAAACCTTGTATGTAAAAACCTTGACATTGTTGTCTGCTTTATTGACAATTCTCACATTATGATATAAATAAATGTATGAATGGACTTTATTAATGCTGATAATACAATCTGTTTTGATTGCTATACTATGTTAGAGGTCAGTATGTCAATTGTTATGACTGACTCATCTCTAGTTATTTCTGTGTCTAGCAAATTTTATTGTTGAACTGATTGTTTGAGTAGCTGACTATATGTTACATAGGCAGGCAGGTCTTCTGTAAAATGAAACATTGATCTGGTAATGGTTGTGGTAGTATGCTGGATGAGAGTGGCACTAGACTGATCACTAGGGGAGGCCTATGTCCAGCAGAATATGACTTTAAGATGTAAGTAGTTTAAATAGCCCACTAGTGCAATGTCATTCAAACTTTATGGTTACTTGGATAACTGCATAAGATGTTACACGGAACAATTTGAAGTATTACCATGATGTCAAGATATGCAGAGGCTGGACATCCTAGCACATCTTCCTCCAACTGTAGATGGCACCTGGTACTCCTGGAAAGACATGTACTTATGATTAACAAACTGTTATTATGTTTGAATGACATAAAACAATGATTTATTACTTATATGCCCAGTATTTTTGTATCCTTGTTCAGTTGTTGTTTTATAGTACAGCATGTGATTGGAAAATCCCCTCTAATTTTTCTAATCATAGACTTTCCATTGAAATTGGGTGGTATTGAATGGTTTAAAACATTGGCATTCATTAGGGATTCCCCAAGTAATTTATATTTGAACAGAAATATGTGTAAGTTTTGTGAGTCAAAAGAATTATATATTTTTTGTAGTTTAAATTGACGAAGAAATGTGTTCTAAGTTATTACACTAGCTTCCCATCTCCCTGACCATCCCACTCATGAAGGGTCGGTGCACATGGTTTTATAAGCCTTAATCTTTCGGCTTAATTATTTACGGCCGGCCATCTACCTGTCGCCAACTCTACTGGAGAAGAATAAATTAAAATTAAATATTTTTTAAGTAAACTAAAAATTAGTATTTTATGATATGCTAATTAGTTATAGGGAAATGTTTCTAAATTACTTTAAGAAATACACAAACAAAAATTAGTATACACTAGTCGTAATTACGTCCGCGTAAAACTAAGCGACTTAAATTTCTATTCATAAACCATTTTTGTACTGATTTTATCCAGATCTTTACAGCCTTTCTAGATTTTCATGATAACCACTCATAGTCAAACTTTAAAATCCGTAAGATTTAATATTATTAGTTTTTTAAAGTTAAATAGATTATCGGCGCCGTGTAACATCTAATCTTAAAACATCGTCTAACGTGTCGATTGAGTTATATGTTGTTTACGATAATTAAATCATATTAGAACGTTTGTTTACATTTGGCTCGGATTGAGGTGGCCGTGTGAACCGAACCTTTGACGTGTAGTTTATTTTTAATGCATCATTTTTTTTCCCGCCAATATATTTGACGTTTTACGTTTAGAATCCATATTGTTTTCTTTTCATTTAGATATTGGTATGGTTGTGATTAATAACATAATATTATTTTAGAATCATGCGAACCATTTCCTTGTATGGAAATATAAATGAAAATTTAATTTTTACTTCAAATTTCAACTCATAAAAACAACAAACGAAGAAAATGTAATAAAAGAAGGTCTGTTGTTTAATCCTACGCAGGTACGCACCCTTTCGAATTCTAAATTTGCACGTAAATTGGTACCCGAATGAAACCACAAAAACTTTACAACTTTGTTTAGCTATTAAAAGTTTTCCGCGGTTATATTACCTAAATAGAATCCAGCAGGAGAATTATCATCGTTGGTGGTCTTAGTTTTTGTTAGAGAAATGCTTTAAATGTGTTGTAGCAAAATAATTTTTTATAGATAACCCAAAATTTGAGCGTCGGTGGCTCAGGAGTCAAGCACTTGACTTGCGATCTGCAGGTCCTGGGTTCGAATCCCGCCATGTACCAATGTGTTTTTCTATTTCCGATTTACATATGTACATTTATCCGACGTTCTTACGATGAAGGAAAACATCGTGATGCAACCTGTACATATCTAAGAAGAAATTCCAAGATATGTGTGTAGTCAACCAAACCGCATTTGGCCACCGTGGTTGACTATAGCCTAGTCACCCTTAACTTAGAGTAGGCTCCGAGCCCCTCGATGGGGACATAGTAAGTTGATGTTGATGAACCCAAAATTAACGTCGCAGGTCTATAAAAGTAATTATTATATAATTGTTTAAACAGTAATAACGTAACTTCATAGAGCAGTGCTATAATGATTGAAGCATTCTCGTCTAGACTATGAACTTTTAGGGACGGATAGACATAACAAGTCGTCGATTCGGAGTTAATTGAATTACAGCTGAACTGAGCTCTTAGCACGCGCGTCTTGTAGTTCACGCCTTCGTTGCAACGGTGACAATTATCATTTGGCTCTTACGAAACTAACGTTGTCTTTTTTCGGCCTTTCAGTATGTTGAAGTTAATTGCATAATAATTAATGTATTTTAAATAGTTTAGGTGGGTCTAAAATCTTGTTAACTCTGTTTTAACTAATTAGTTAATAGAAATCTGAATTTTCTTACCAATGCACGTTTTAATGACTTGGCTATTATATTACTTCTTAGTCTTACTAATATTGTAAATGCGAATGTTTGCATGGATGTTTGTTTAAAGGTATTTCCAGTACGGCTTATCACATCGAAATATGGCAAAAAATGAACATAGACTGGACATAGGCATACTAGTTAAGTTTTATTTTAATTTCGCACGGACGGAGTCGCGTAATACAGCTAGTAATCTATAAGTATGTAAATATTTTGCGTACAACGGAAGCCTTCCTCGTGACCGGGAATAAATGCAAGTGAACAAACTTTAAACAAAAGTTCGCCATTATTATAACGACGTATTTTGGAGCAGCGCCAAGCCTTCATTTTTGTTTGGGTGTATTGTGTCAAAGAAATCAAGTTCTGCGTTATTTGTTTATATTGTTTTATACTTTGCCTAATTATTTTGATAAAGCATTGTATTGGTATTAAAATAAGATCATAATTATATTGTCATTTAATTGCAAAGTTTAAGATTTTTAGTCAGTTAACTTAAATATATGATGTAAGTAGTGGCTCAGACGACTTTACTTATTGATCTCTGAACCGTAAGCTTGTTATTTCTTGTTGCGAATGATTTCAATGTACTTAGCTATTACTTCAGCATAGAATAACTTGACGCACGACTTTTATATGGCTTTTTTGTGTTTGAAGTTTAAAACTCGATTAAAGTAAGCTTAGCAAGTAATTCTATAAAACCTCTTATTTCAACTTCGGTCTAATCCTAACATTTCAGAAAGACAACGTAATCACAGACAGGGTTTGTCAGATTTACTATTCTTAGTTTTATGACTACACTAGCTGTCGCCCGCGACTCCGTCCGCGTGGATATATAAAAAAACTTAATTAGTGTAATCCATCCACATCATATCCATCCAAACATTCGCATTTATTATATTAGTAAGTTAAATAAAAAGCAATTCTTCAAGGCATAAATTCGAAAAAATAAATAAATAAATAATATCCTATGTCCGTCTCCTGGCTCTAAGCTACCTCCTCACCAATTTTCAGCCATATCGGTAAAGCCGTACTTGAGTTATAAATAGTGTAA